TTTTTTTTTTTTTTTGAGACAGAGTCTTACTCTGTTGCCCAGGCTGGAATGCAGTGGTAAGATCTTGGCTCACTGCAACCTCCGCCTCCTGGGTTCAAGGGATTCTCTTGCTTCAGTCTTCCGAGTAGCTGAAGGCTGAAGCACCACGCCCACATAATTTTTTGTTATTTTTAGTAGATACGGGGTTTCACGATGTTGGTCAGGTTGGTCTCGAACTCCTGATCTGCCATCTTATATCCTTCATCTTACAAACACTCAGTGAAGAAGATACTTTCCTTTAGATGTTTCCTGAATTTAACTAATAGCACATACACAACGTTCACGCTCATTTCCCTGGATTATTCTTTATACACGGAAAGGCTAGTGTAACAGATATTCTCTGCATTTACGTTTAGGTGGCATTTCCCTACCCCCACCGCCCCATATTCTCATCTGATCAACTTTAATGTCTTTTGCCTTAATTTCCACTTCATATATATGATTTAATATTAGAATGTAAGTTGTAGTAAATTATCCTTTACTTAAAATTTGAATTTGACATTTTCAGATTACCTTGTGACAGTTCAAATTGTGCAAAAGATACATGAACAAAAGCAAATTTCTTGCAGTTTGCTCTGGCCATTTGAAAGTAGTCACGTGCATCATCTGGTTCTTGAATACTGTAATAAAAGACTGTGTCAAAATTTAAGAAAAATGTAGCTACTTAAATTTGATAATGCTTCAGTAAGTTTTCCAAAAGACATGGGGTATTGCTTTTTTCTGTTGGTAAAATTAAATACTAATAAGTTATTTTTTCAAAATCTTTTCAGGTAGTTTAAAATATAAGTAAACTTTTGTGGAAACATGTACATAGTAAAGAATTTACATCAGTCTCTTGTTAATTATAAGCAAAAGCATTTGGTTAAAAAATATTAATTTTCTCACAAGTAATACTGACATGCTTTTATTTTCTCTCTTTGCAATGCAGTTACATATTATGTAACATAGTTAAACATAGTTAAAATGCTAATACTTACGCTTTTAATTCAGCAAATCTGACTTGAATTCTAGCAAAACTCTCATTTTGGCCATATTTATCTGGAGGAAGCGCTTCAATTGCTTGACTGTAACGACCAATCAATTTATTTAAAAGAACATCACTTAGAGGAACACTGTTTTTCTCTAGTTTGAGCAACAAATTCAACCAGTCCTCTGGGTTGTTTGCCATCATCATAATTTGGTTAACAGTTCCCGAGTTATCTAAATAAGAGGAACAAAATATATCACAACAGAAGACATAAAACAAATGCCAAATTGCATTTTTCCTTCAAAATATTGCCAAGCATTTGTACTCTTACTATCAATGTACATAAAGTCCTTGTAATACTTTTTAAAATTGTAAAAATTCATAAGTAACTTATTTACTATGTATTTATCTTTTATGAAGGCATATGTTATCCAAAAGCTACATATTTTGATGGGAAGAAAAAAAATTGAAAGTGTTTTTTAAGTAGCCTTTAAAAATTATACACAGTTTAAGGAAATCTTATGATGTTGCAGGATAATTATAATTTTAGCATCCTATCTATCCAAAGAAAACTAAGTTTCTCCCACCACCACCTGTACTAACTTTCCTAGAAAATTCTCCCATCAATGACTTATTCATTAAACTTACTGCTCCAGTCCTAACATAACCTTCTTTACAACCTTACCCATCGAACATTATCTCTGTATACCTCATACTTACTTGTAAAACAACCAAATCAGCTTTACTAAAAATAAACAACTGTTATTATCATTTTCTTCTCTGCAAGAAGCCTATATTTCTCCTAGAGGCCCTGATAATTTCTTGGTCCAACAAACTCATAGCTACCACGGTCTAGAGCATTGGAATTTATTGGACCTCTTGTGACTGTCAGGTTTCTCTCTGTGGAACCCTTACCTACAGAAACAGCAAGGACAGCCTTCAGACATAATTATCACACTTGTAATGTGCTTTTTACTCTCTTCAGTATTCGCTTCTTAAAAAGACAACCTGAATGTCAGTCTTCTCTTCAGGATATTTCGATTATTACTAAGCATTATTAAATTCACATTTCCAGAGAAGATATCATTCCTTCTATCAACTTCAGTCACCATCAGCAAAACTTTATTTTTATAAATAAAATTTGTTTCTGCTTTCTACTAAAATATAGTGCTTGCACAACTTTGCTTTATCGTCTTAAGTTTAATTTGGTCTGATCTTAACTTTCTAGTTTTATCTCCGATTGCTTTCCTAAGAAGTTAGTCTGTGAAAATGTCTAAAGAAATATACATTGCCATCTGTAGCTTTGCAGATGCATTCCTCATGCCTGAATACCCTATTCTTCCTCTAATCAACAAATATAACATTTGTGTTTTATCATGCTAGTATTCCTATGATGCCTGGCATGCATTACAATGTAGCATAGTGAAAATATAAATTCTCATCTAGAAAGAAACTATGGTTTTAAGCATCTCTGAATCTTCCTCAATACTTAAAATACTCAATTGTCTTGATGTACAATCTTTGTTAGTGTGACATAATTAAAATTATACTCTATTAACACTCTGCTTAACACCGAAACTATCATTGTCTAGGTTTTTTCAAAGCGAACATAGTCTGCCACCATAACTAGATCACAGGTTCTTCCATATATTTTCAATTCCTCATCTATTTAATGGTTAGCATATATGTAACAAAATTATCCAAATGTCACCATTTAAATGACCACAATCATCTGAACTACAGTTAACAATCTGGCTTCAGAGCTAATACTTTTAGCAGAGCTACAGTATTATACTCCGGACACTTTCACCCATTAATCATTGTTCAATTAATGTTTACGTACCTACCATGTGCCATAGGCCATTCAAAGTTCTGTGGATTTAATAGATAAAAACCCTGCCCTCATGTAGCCTACATTCTAGTGGAGGACAAAGACAATAAACACATGAGTAAATTGTAAATGATGTGATTAGTACTATTTCTTTACCTTACAGGATACTCAACAAACAGTTACTAACTTAAAGGAAAAGAAAAACTCACCTGTAGTATCAGTGGAAATTTTATTCAAGCTTAGCTCATCAGTAAGGTCTTCATTTTTAAACTTATTTTTAATGTCTCTCACTTTGTTCATTATGGAATCAATTGTCAATTCTCTGCCACTTAAATCCTCAGACTCCATTTCTAAGAAAAAAACTGAACTAGTCATAATTCCTATTTTAACTAGCATCAAAGCAAAAAAAAAAAAAAAATGCACTTTTCAGAACCCAGAAGACTAAAGCATTAGTTTTGTGAACACACCTAAACGCAGCTATTATTAGGCTAGTATTAATGGAGCTAAATGCGCAACAAGGTACACATCTTTCTAATTTGTTCAGCAAGGTTTCATAGGCCAAGTATACTTTTTTCTCCAATATAACATCAATGGCACCACACTCTAGAAATCACTCTAGAAATCTGTAAATTTAAGTCATTAAAAAAATATGATGGAGTGTATGCTTGGATTCTGGTAGTGACATACACATAAAGATTGCTTGGATTCTGGCAGTGACATAGACAAAGAATTCGTTTGGCAATGGAAATAAGAATTCCTTTATTCGTCTGCTTCACTTGAGTAAATCTTCACAGTGAGAGTGCTTTCAAAACAGACTATGAACATTATGGGACTTTATTGATAATTAGGATATCCGCAGGTTTATTCTTGTGCATATCTGGCAGAATCATGATTTGCTACCTTAATCCAATACCAAGAAACTACAGTACTCGTACTGAGCACTTGCTTATCTGTAACATGGTGGTGGTGTTTGTGCAATAAAGTGTATGCAGTCTTCCTGTTAAATCTATCTTTGTTACTCTCAAAGACAGACTGAGAGTGACTGCCCCGTCTTCAGCTTTAACAATTTTAAAAAGCCATAATGTTTCAGCAAGCGATACCACTCCACCTCTGAAGTCAAGTTTGGAAGGTAACTCAGATCACGGCCACCCTCTCCTTTCCCAGTTTTAACACGCAAACAAAAGAGACTGTCTTTTGAAAACGATCTTGAGCGCAAGTACCCCACCACCCCTCCTTTCCAGCGTGGACCACACCCACTTCTTCCTCAAGAAAACCTCCTGCACCGCCCCACCCGCCAGAGCCGCGGAGGCAGCGAGACCTCCCCTCCTCCTCCAGCTCGTTTAGCCGCGTCGCGTACCCGGCTCCGAGCTGCTCCCGCCTCGCCCCACCCCTCACCGACCAGCGCTGATAATGATCCCATACACCGGCTGCGGCAGTTCCTCCGTGCGCCGGTGACACAGAACTTACCTACAGTAAGCGGAGCTGGGGATATGAAGAGATGGAACCCAAACTCCTTTCCGCAAACGTTTGAATTTCCCCGTCGCTATCACTACGGCCTCCTATTGGTCAATGCGAGTCACGTGGAAGCGTCTGTAGTGATTGGTTCGTGCCCGCCGGGCCGCCCCTCCTCCTGCTTCTGGCAGGGCTCGCCCCGGAAGAGCCCGGGCCTTGGCCCCCACCCTTGTGGCGCTTGGGCGGGTGCTGTTACCCTGCAGGCGTTCCCCGGACGCCAATCGGCGGGCTTTCCTGCACTTACCAGTTTAACCAGACTAAATTTTTGCCTGGGAGGTAGTCACTCCCGGGCAAACTTCGCCGGTGAGAGGAATACAGGGGCGCGGGAGGCTGCTTCCAGCATCAGAACCTAAAAGATGCACCTTGGGCCTGCCCCTTCCTGACCCCACCACCACCATTCTCCTTCGTTCCCCGCGTTCCTCACAGCCTGGCTTAGAGAGGATGTGGCAAGAAAGGATCTTTCACAGAGCTAGGTTCGGCCCTGCCGCCAGCTCAAGAATTTCAGTGCTTTTTATCCGAGCTTCCGCTTATGCCCTTCCAGTATCCTTAAATGACTCCTTGCTCTGTCTTCAAGCCAAGACCCTCCCTTTTGTCAAAATTCTGAGCAGAACTCACACGCCCATCATGATTGCCCTGCCTGAACTCGCCTTATCAGCCCCCCTCCCTCCGAGCCTGCCCCACTTAAGGGCTCAGGTGTCCTCAGGGGTAAAAACATCTCCCTAGTAATCTTCGCGGGTGCGAGGCTCTGCCGCTAAGTGGCTTTGTGGTCCAGGGCAACGGTTACTCCTCGTCTGCAAAACGAAAGGGGATGTGTCTGTTGTGCCAGCATAATAACGTGTTCTGCGGTAGGACGGGTTGGTTTTGTGTATGTATAGGAATCTAACTGCAGCTGTCACTTGTTAACTCTAAAGCTGTCCTTGGAACCCTCACATTCCCAGCTCTGTATGGCCACCTAGCCAGCATGAGAGCCCTTCTCAATCACTTCATGAGTCTTTCTTTGTCAGCTAGCTAGTATTTTTGCTTCAGCAGGGCCAAATGACTTGCTATATCATGGTTGGCTAATCACTTACCTTGGCATCATTGCATTTAATGCTGCTTTTGCCTGGAGAGAGTTTATTATTCCTCCAATTCTCTTTGATCTGTTTGCGGCCTGATCTCAAAGCTTGCATTTACCTGAAAATACTGTTGCTGGATGACCTCACCCTAACATTTCTTTCTGTACACTCATTTGTGATCTCCATCTATATGTCAATGACTCCCAAATGTGTATCACCAGCTGAGCTCTCCTCAACTCCATACTCAAATATCCACTGCCTACTTACTAACATCTTCACTTACATGTCTCATATGCATCTTGAACTCAAAATGTCCAAAACCAAGCCCCGATCTTCCTCCCCAAACCTGTTTTTTAACAAAACCTATAAAAGACAAACTCATTGTCCCAAGTTTTTTTAGCCCCAAAACCTTTGTGTCATCCCTGATTCCTTGTCAAATTCATAAGCAGATTCAGGGCTAGCACAAGAAATTCCTGGACTCCTACCAATTCTCCCCACCTCTCCTGCTACCACTTTAGTCCAAGGAATCTTCATCACTTACCTGATGCTACCTGCAGTAGCTTACTGGCTGGTCTCCCTGCTTCTGCCCCTGCTTCACCTAAATTTATTCTCTGACATAGCAAAGTAATCTTAAATCAGATTATGTTACTACTTTGCTCAGAACCCATCAGTGCTCCCTTTCTAGCTTGGAATAAAACCAAAAGTCCTTATGATCGTATGTGACTATTGAGCACTTGAATGTGTCTAGTGCAACTGGGAACTGAATTTTTAAATCAATTAACCTTAATCAAATTAAATTTAGATTTCAATTTGAAAACTGATACCTAATGGGATTATTTTTAAACTTTTTAAACTTTTTTTTTTTTTGCTTTCTTTTTTCTAAACTGGCATTAGTCATGAATTTATTGGAAGATGTTTATACTGGGAAGAACGTAAGTATATGAACTTACTTTTTCAACTGTAAATTTTGTGAGATCCAAATGTAGATGAAGTACTTCCAGTGAAAGTATCTGAGTATGAAATGTGATGCACTGTAAAGTATAAAATACACTCAGGCTTTTGAAGACTGAATATGAAAAAGTAATAAACATCGATAATTTTAAAAATAGTAAAATGATATTTTTGCTATATTAAGTTAAATAAAATACATTATTAAAATTAATACCACCCCATCACAGACCAGATGAGGCTAAGGAGACATGACAACTAAATGAACTGTGATATCATAAACTGGATCCTGAAACAGGAGGATGCCATTAATGGAAAAATTAGTAAAATTCAAATAAAGTCTGAGGTTTAGTTAATGATAAGGTACCAATTTGGTTTCTTAGTTTTAAAAATGTATCACAGTAATGCAAGATCTTAACAACAGAAAAACTGAAGGAACGGTATACAGCAGTCTCTGTACTATTTAATATCCTTGGAATTTTTTGTAAATTAAAAATTATTCAAAAATTAAAAGTATGAAAATTTAATTTCACCTGTTTCTTTTTACACTTTGATATGGCTAATGGGAAATTGAAAATTACATACATAGCTTACATTGTATTTCCATTGGACAGCAGTGATCTGTAAAATCCTATAGTTTTAACCTATTTGATGTATTTATTTATCTTATTTTCTGACTCTCCAAACCTTACCCCTACTAGAATACAAACTCCATAATGCAGAAATTTTTGTCTGCTTTGTTCATTACCGCATCCTTATTGCTTAGAACAGTGCCTTGTACTCTTGTAGGCAGTGGCTAAATGTTAGCTAAATACTAACATTTACAACCATTAGAGTATTTAAGAATCCTATTGTATTTAACACATTTGTATACTTCTTGCAATACGATTGTTCATTTGGCTTAATATCGACTGCATCTGACAGTGGATAGACTTGTTCATATTCAGAGTGAAGCCCTTCACAAAGCAATAAAATTAGCCATAAGATTATGACTTATTTTAAGATTATAAGTTTCCCATTTTAATCACATAAATGAATGGTTGTCATTATCATCATGTTTAACTTTGTCATTATCATCATGTCACATTTTTGCTAATCTTTTACTTTTCTGTCAGCACAGCTGCCTTATTTATTTATGTGTTTATATTAATCCCCTCCAAGGAATTTCTTATTCAATTATTGAGGCCAAGCTCACTAAGGCCCAAACTTTGATTTTAGATATTATTATATATGGATTTACTTTGTATATAGGCAAAAGTTAAATTTCTGATCAATAATAAACCCAGTTCTTACAGCATGCAATCAGTTGTGTGCTGCTTTATGGTGATTTATTCTGGATAAAACATTACTAGTGTATGCTGATTTTAGTGCATTTAGGAGTGATGTGAGCCCATAAGAATGTTGAGACTTGTATGAATACTGTTAGGAAAGCTAAGTATCACAGAATGAACCAAGACATGCCCAAAAGAAAAGAAAAATGCCACAGATAGCTAACAACTTACCTCATAAACAAAGAAAAACAGCAATGGCAGCTTAGATTACGTTTTACAAAGGAAGGCAGCAGTGACAAGTAGGAACATTACTTGGACATCAAGTATTATTTAATTATGCAGGCAACAAACTATGCTAACAAATAACAGAAAAAAAGCAGGATTCTCAGTTCCTTTTTTTCTTTTTTCTCCAATATGAAGAATAGTAGTAAGACTGACAATCTTAAAAATAAATATAGGACGGGTTATATAAGAAAAACGTTTAAATTCCATCCAAATTATCTGACACAAATGAATTTTTTTTTTCCTTTTTTGAGATAGGATCTGGCTCTGTCACCCAGGCTGGAGTGCAGTGGTGTGATCTTGGCTCACTGCAACTTCTACCTCCTGAACTCAAGCCATCCTTCTACCTGAGACTCCCAAGTAACTGGTACTACAGGTGCATGCCACCACACTGGACTAATTATTGTATTTTTTGTAGAGACGGGTTTGCCATGTTGCTCAGGCTGGTCTCAAACTTGTGAGCTCAAGCAATGCACCCACCTTGGCCTCCCAAAATGCGGGGAGGACTTGTGATGGTCTGTGACTACCATCACACCTGGCCATAATTTTTAAAAAATTTATCCATGTTTTCATTGTATGGAATATAGAAAGAGCCTCACATAATTGGTTAATATACCAAAATATCCTGAAGAAAATAAGCAGGATATTGAAAAATGTACAATATAATCCCTGAAACATTGTTGGCAATCTTTGAAAAGTCGTAATAAGTAGAGCCAATGATAGCCAGAAATGGACAAGTGTTACCTTTTTGGAAAAGGTAGAATTTGGAAGCTATTAATTTCTATAATCTCAATGCAGATTTTAGACCAATTCTGGAATCAATTACAGAACTGTTTGGAAGCAAAGACACCAACATGAATTCATTAAGAGCAGGCCATATAGAACATACTAAGTTCTGATTTTGATTGTTTCTATATTTAGAAAAGGGGAGGCCATAAATACAGAATATCTTAACTTTGGCAAATAAAATGATGAAGACTCTCTTATTGCTTTTGTGGAAAAAAGGAGCAAGTAATTCCCATACTGTTAATATGAAGTAGTTCTGCAACTCTGGATCATTTTTCTCAAAAGATCATTTGTTAATGGTTTGAGAAGAACTTCAGGTTGATCCCTAGTAGAAGGCCTCAGAACTCTGTCTCTGGTTTTATTCTAAACTACATATCTTATCTGTATGACAAACATATAAAATAATGCTTAACTTTTCATATTAATTAAAACAAAAAAGACAAAATTAGAGATACTTTAAAAGAACAAAATTGATAATATGCAATTCATAGAGATAAATGTAAGTCTGTACAGTTAGATTTATGAAACTAATAAAATTCTTAAATACTGAGTGAGAGTCTAGTCAAGCTAAAAAAAAAAAAAAGCATGGTCCAGATTTATTCTCTAGAAACAATAGTAACAGCAAAAACTATAAAAAATAAATGAAATAATGATTTTCAAGCATCAGACATCAGGCAATACAGGACAGTGATCCTGAAGAATAGTGAAACAAACAAGTGAGTCATAATGTTGTCCCCAGATTACTTACTGGTGAGAGTTTCCAAGCTTCAGTGTACAAAGGGAGAATGCAGGCATTGCCTGGCATTCTAAAGTTAAGATGGAACTCATAGTCTAGAATGGCCAAGGAAGGTGAAGTTCATAGGACAAAGTACCAGAGAAAAAGAGCAGAACAGAGAGAGTATCCTGGAAATATGCAGAGGATATCCTTGAGTCTTCAGCTCTGTACTGATAAGTGCAATTGTATACAGAAACTATCCCAAGACCAGGGGAAAATAACAGACAGGGGAAAGAATAAAAGGGAATAATCACAAGAGCTCATGAAGGGCAAGAAATAGTTATTGCTCACAAAGCAGCAAGTAGAAGACTCATGATATTGCCTTAGAACTGGGGCAAAATTAGCCCTGAAGCCTGCAGTGTTCCAGTCTATAAAAGCTTAAGAGCAAACCTTAAAAGAATCAGATAAAGCTCAAGAATATTTATAGAAATACAAGAAAATCCAACTGGGTCAAATTTACAATATCTGGCATCTAATTTTAAAAATTGCTAGCCATTTAAATCACAAAAATGTAACTCTAAATGAGGAAGTGGGGGTGGAAAGCAGCCAATTAAAACAGATGCAGAAATGGCACAGATTACTCAATTAATAGACAGACAAACAGTAATTATACCTGTATTCCATATGTTCCAGAAATTAGAGGAAAGTATATAAACATATTAAAAAGAAATATAGACTATATGAGAAGATCAAAAACAAATGTATAGAGATGAAAAATGCAATACCTGCAATCAAAATTATACTGGATAGGTTTAATAGCAGATTACAGTCTGGAAAACAAAATATCCTAAACTTGAAAACATATCAATAACAAACTATGCAAAATAAGGCACAGAGAAGCAAATAAACAAAAATACAAAAGAAAACCAGTGACTTGCGAAGCAACTTGACATGGCCTAATGTCCATGTGATTGGAGTTTTCAAAAGAAATAAGGGAAAATAGAAGAATGTATTTGACGAAAAAATGGCCAAAATTTGTTTAAAGATGTTGAAAACCATAAATGAACAAATTGAAGAAGTTCAACAGATTCTAAACACAATAAACTATGAAAACAACACCTGCATACATTCTTAAATTGGTCAAAACTAATGATAAAGAGAAATATTAAAAGCAACCAGAGGAAAAAATACATATTACACATAGATGAACAATCATAAGAGTAACATTAGACTTCTTGACAGAAACAATGCAAGCTGGGAAACAATGGAGTGACATCTTTATCCCTTTTCCCATTTAGAAAAAAAAGTACAATTGCCTACCAGCACTCATTTAATTTTACATAAACAGCTTTTTGAGGCTAAAGCAAATCTGACTGATTTTCAATGTGAAAATAAAATTTAAAAACTGCTTTTGGAGTTATTTCTAAACATAACTAACATCACAATCATCTGAATCAGCAGAATTGTCTATTTTGGAAAAATCAGATTCATCAAATGAATCTTCAGCCAACAACTGTTTGAGAATGATGGTAACATCACACATAGAAATGCTATGTTTTCTAGGATTTGACATTTCAGCAGTTGAGAATTACTATATTTTGTAAATGGAAATACTAAACCCCACCACTAAGCAGAATGTTGTAAATATTTTATTTTATATATTTTTTATTTTTTTGAGACAGGGTCTTGCTCTGTCACTGCCCAAGCTGGAGTGCAGTGTTGCAATCTTGATTAATTTCAACCTCTGCCCCCCAGGTTCAAACGATTCCCTGCCTCAGCCTCCCAAGTAGTTGAGATTACAGGTATCTGCCACCACACCTGGCTAATTGTGTATTTTTAGTAGAGTTGAGGTTTCACCATGTTGGCCAGGCTGTTATTGAAATCCTAACCTCAAGTGATCTGCCCACTTCAGCCTCCCAAAGTGTTGGGATTAAAGGTGTGAGCAACCCCACCCAGCCTAGAATGTTGTAAATAGAATGATGTCTTTTGTTTCCAAAGTTAATACATTAAAGCAGTGCAAAAATAATAAAGGTCAGCTATTTTGTGGCAAAGTTTTCTTAAGGTAAACACAGCAGCTGCAGGCATGTATTCTTGGGGCAAATAGAAAAAGGGTTAAAATACTGAAAGGAAAAGAAAAAAAAATCTATAAATCTAGAATTATTATTTCCAGCAAAAATATTGTTCATTATGAAGGGAAACTAAAGGCTTTTTTTAGACATACAAAAGCTGATTTCATTCATCACCAATAGAATAGCAATACAAAAATTATTAAAGGAAGTCCTTCAGGCAGAAAAATTCTGAAACTACATAAAATAATGAAGAACAGTGGAAATGGTAAATATGTGGATATGTAAAAAGATATTTTTCTTATTTTTGAAATCTCTTTAAGAGATAACTAAAGCAAAAAATAGTAACAATGTATTGTCAGGTTTATAACATACAGAGAAGTAAAACATGCCAACACTCACAGCAGTGCTGGGAGGAGGAAAATGAAAGAATATTATTTAAGGTTTCTTTCTACTACACATAAATTTGATATAATATTACTTGTGATAAGTTAAAGGTGAACTCTATAAACCTCCATTGTCCATCATGGTAACCACTAGCCACATGTAGCTCTTGAGCCCTTGAAATGGAACTAGTCCAAAATGAATGTGCTGTAAGTATAGAATACACACCAGATTTCAAAGACATAGTGTAAAAAGTATAAAATTTACCATTAATATTTATATACTGTTACAAATTATTAATATTTATTATTAATTGAAATTAAAATAATTTGGGTATATTAGTTTAAACCAAAATAGTATTGAAATTAATTTTACCTGTTACTTTTAACTTTTAAAAAATATGGCTACTAGAAAAAATGTAAATTATATATGTGGCTCACATAATATATCTGTTGGACAGTGTACTAGAAACCCTAAAGTAGCCACTAAAATCAAACAAACACACACACAAGTAAAAACCAACAAACCAACCAACAAACAAAAAAACACAGCTACTAAGTGAACAAAAGGCAAAAATAAAAAATATTCATTTAATACTAATGATGCAGAGAAAGAGCAAAAGAGTAAAAAAGAACAGACAAACAAATGGAAAAAAGATAGCAAAACAGTAGATTTAAATCCAACTATAGCAATAATCACATTAATGTATATGATGAAAACACTCTCTGAAAATGGTAGAGATTTTCAAATCTATGAAAAAGCAAAGTTCAACTATCCACTGCCTTCACCAAACCCATCTTAAATATGAAGGCACAAATAGGATAGAAATGAAATAAGGAAAAAGATACACCATGCTATCATTACTAAAACACTAAAATCAGAAAAACCTAACATGGCACAGGTCTCTGAAAACAGACTTAAGAGTATTTGGTTATCTGGATAAATGGCCTTTGATCGCTGATCTCAGGTATATTTTGTAAGTATCCTCAGACATGGATCTAGAGTGGAAACTCATCAGAAGTGAGCATGTTTGCTGGAAGTCTAGATAAAATGATTTAAAGTTTAATCCTAGATTTTATATCACAGTTCTTTAGAGAGCTCTGAAAATAATATTATTTCTTCATGATTAACCATCAGAGATAAATAGTTTTTGACACATTTCTTGGCAATGGGCTCAACATACGCGCTATCAAGGTAGGCCTAGATAGTTCAGAGTAGCTAAAAACCAAAACATCTCTGCCAAAAACTACACGATGAGGAAATGAGACATCATTGAAATAATTTGCCTCATCATTAGAGTAAGAGTGCACA